GGAAAAAAACGCTGTGCCTCAAAAACGCCCGCTAGCGATCCCTGCGGGCCAATTTCAGAAGAGCAACTGCCGTTTTCAGCTGGCAAAAAACACTTTAGTGGCCACGGGTGTTTACCAGGTTGCCGCAGGGATGGGGCTGCATGTTCCTTTGTGAGTGTGGCCAGCATTCTCTGCCTGGAGCAAATGACTATATATGGATATCTGTCTCGGAATGGCATCATACCGAGCCGTTAGTAGAAAAAGCTGTTCAAAACAGAGTGTACAGAACAGGGGAATATCTGAGGTTTTGGCTCACAGGGATTTCTTTTAAATGTTTTAACCTCATTATTTGAAGCTTTGGTCATGAACATCTGACATTTTAACATTGTAGATAAGTCATAAAATATGGAAAAGAATAAACGGTCTCCTTTAAAGGTGTCTCTGTTTGGTTTGGGTCAGAGTGTTGTTCGTCCCTTATGGCCACCTAAGGGTGGGGCGTAACAATAAATTATGATCGCATTATAGCAGATTTTTAAGGAAAACATGCAAGATCATATTTATTGATTTCTGGCATAATTTAATTTGGATACTTACTTTGAATATAAGGAAGTTAAACTTCCCGGTAGGTTCAGAAAATGTGTGTCTGTTACTTCATTCCAGTTATTGTTGCCCTTTACTATAAAAAGTTAGCATAGCACAGCCCTGATCGATCCAAACTCCATTCAGAAATAAAACATTTTAAAAGTCATTGTCCTGCTGTCTAGCTTACGATCTGACAAAGCATGACTTGATATGTTTAACGAATCACATCATGTTGTAAATATTTCCGCATCATTTTGATCCGTTTATTGCAATTAAATCACAACTAAATGTTTACTTTGGGTTCGCAAGGATTACATTCGCGTTTGGTCTGAATGCACAGTTAGTTGTGCTTTCAGAGGCCCAGCCTGCTAGGGGAATTCCCATGATGTACTGAGCTCCTCTCCTCCTTTCCCACTCTCCCATAAATACATGTTTCAACCCGTTCTCACTCCCCAACTCTTCACATACGGATGCATGGTCAGGACCCATCGGCGTCAGTCTGTAACACACTGGGGATCCCTATAGCGTCATAGTTCAACGCAGTGGGGGAAGCCCTCTAGTGTAAATTTTTTGACGTTAAAGGCAGTTATATGATAATTAACAGTGCTACAATTAATATGATTAATTCTATTATTATGATCATTAATATTACCATCATTATTATTATTATTAATTTTCTGTCTGGACCACTACCACTTTTACTGTTTTTGTATTTCTGTGTGTATGTTGTGTTGGCTGCTTCTCCCTCTCCCCCTACCTCACTCTCTCTCTCCGTCTCTCTCTCCCTCTTCCCCCCAACCAGTCGAGGCAGATGGCCACACACCCTAAGTCAAGGTTCTGTTCACGGTTTCTCTACCTGTTAAAAGGAAGTTCTTCCAACCAAGTGCTTGCTCGCGGTGGGAATTGTTGGTTCTCTGTTGATAATATTAAACAAAGTGTACAGTCTAGACCTGCTCTATCAGAAAACTGCAATGGGATATCTTTGTCATGAATTAGCGTTATATAAATAAAATTGAACTGAAGTGCATGTGGCAACTACGGTTAAGGAGAGTTTGAGGCTCTTGCAAATTATCTATAGTTAAGGAGAGAGGTGATTTGGTAAGTTTATAACTTGGTTAAGCTCTTGGTTATGTGTGTTGCAGCTCTCAGATCGGCAGTGATGGAAACACGCAGCACTGGATGTTGGGTGTGAATCGTGAGGTGCAGAATTGGCCCATAGGGATGTATTTCCTGTTATTCAAACCACTCTCATACCATACACCTTTTGGACAACCACCCCCGCTTTGTGCAGTGATTGGTCAGTGTGAAAGTAAACTTCTTTCTCAAACTCCCATTTTTCATTCTGTACACAATCTACTTCCTTCACTTTCTATGTGCACAACAAAGTGCAACACCATGTTGTCAAGATTAGAAAGACAGAGTTTGCACCAAACACTTTTACCTGGATGAACAGCTCCACATGCACATCTTTATAATATTCTCATTAAATGTAATTATGAGGAAATTATGTAAACATTTTTGCCAAAGGCAGACTTCAATTGCCTCCACCATCATCTGTTATAATCCATCTGTCACTTTTCATCTGTTTCTTCCAAAGAGCATGCGTCTAATTTTGAAGTGAACTTGTTTTCATCAGAGTGTTCACACTATGCTGTGTATATGCTGTCTGCCCAGCAGGATGGGACGCGCTAATCCTTCCTTTGGGGAAACGGTGGAGGGGGAGAGCTGCTGCTGACAGCTTCACAAACAACCCCTGCTGCTGCTGTCGTCTGCTGCACATGAAGCTGAAGTCTGAACACACTTGTGTCTAGTTGATGCCCAGTGTCTCTGAGACTCTAAATTAACTGGGATCTGCTACCGCTCTGCATCTCTGATGATTGTAATTGTGTAACGGATCTTTAAACCACAGCAACACAAGACCCTGTCCTCATCAGTTTAGTCCTGTTCTTGAATATATTCCAACTGCAGCACACAGCTGCTGCGTTAAGTCAAGTTCACGGGTGGAAGAATTGTTCAGATCATTTTACTAAAGTAAATATACCACAACTTAAAAGTTCTACAAGTAAACGTCCTGCATTGAAAATTATTCTTAAGTAAAAGTACGTGTAAGTATTGAACTGACTTCTTGAGATCAGGCAGAGAGAGAAAAGACTAGATTTTTTCTCAGTTGATAAAAAACATGATTAAACAACTTTTGTGATTTGTTTTTCAAATGAAAGAACTCCAGATTACTAACATGTTGCACATCCACTTCCTTACTGTCCACCTCTCTGCATAAAGGACGATTTATTTCCCTCATGTAAAAAGTGAGGTCTAGCCAATAGGGATGTATTTCTTCTGTCAGTAGTCAAGGTAAATTATTACTGTCAGGTTTCTGGCTACAGGTTTAACCTTTGTAAACAGGGAGCCAAGACATTTAAAAAAAAATAGGTATGGACTTCTGGGACCCAAAAATTATTCCTTTTATCTATTTTTTTATTTAGCTGGAGGAAGTTTTGGGACATCTATGACTTTATTTATTTCTGACAGATGAGCTAATAAATTCTGAAAATTCCCTACTTCACTGGTTTTCAGTGGGACTTAACTTTACACATCATAAGAATAACATTGGTTCTGGATTTTGTGGCAGCATGTATTACACAGAATAACAAGGGGCCCAGTGTGGAGCCAGGGGGAACACCACAGGCCAGAGGGGCCACAGAGGAGACATCGCCAATGAGTATTGAGAAAGTTCTGTTTGATAAATAGGATTTAAACCAGTCTGAAGCAGAGTCTCTGATGCCAACACATTTTTAAGGCGATAAAGACTTGGTGGTGTTGAGACAAGAGCCTGTTCTAGCCATCTATTTTCTAATATAACCTGGCTCTTACTCTTTACTCTTGTAACTCCTCATTTAAAGATACTTTTTTGAAATGTACAGAAAAGCATAAAACTTATACACCCGAATAAGTTCTCCAAACAATATACAGAGGTGTGGGTTGTCATGCAAAATCACCCATATGAGCATTTTGTGATCTGACAGCCCTAATGTTCCAAAATGTAAAGCCAGTGTGTTTACTCAAATTACCACAGTGCAAATTTGGGACCAGGAAGTGTTGTACCACAGATAAACTGGGGTGAACAGCTATTAACAGGGACCAGCAGCTGATGGGATGTCCTGATGATGAAACACAATCCAGACACCATAGCTGTGCACAATAGGTCATTAAACCATGAGATAATGTTTCACAACTCTAAAGTTACCACGTTCAAGTTCAAGATCAAGTAGGCTGTGTTTCTTGTCAATCCATGGTCCATGGTGCTAAAACCAAGATCACAACAATCAGCTTACAAGACAGGAAACCATACAACACAATACAGTAACTGCAGAAGATGAGTGAAAAGAGCAGATCTAATTTCCGTACGGCAAAGTGAACATAGTGTGGCAGGAGCATTATAAAGTGCATAGTGCCACCTGTGTCTGAATCTATACTTAAAATAGCATCAGAAGCAAAGGCATCACTTTGTGTTGAAACGTGGTGGGAAAATAAGGGCTCAGAGGGCTGTTTCACAAAAGCAGAATTTAGAAATCCAGGATACGAGATAAAGCGAGGCTTGACCTGGTGTGATCAGTGCATCCTGGCTTTATCAGTTTCACAAAGGCCAAACCAGGCTCAGAAGGTGCAACTATGTCAAGCCAGGTGTAAGTAATTTAGATAAATGCACATCAACAACTTTCTTCAAGAGACCACACGGTCGATTACAGATTCATTGATGCTGTTACTCACTGTGTGTAAAGAAGGATTACGATGAAAAAACGCACATAATATAAAAAAAAAGAAAGAAACACGGCCGACTTTATAAGTAAGTAACAAAGTATCACTGCTCCTAACTGAAACTGTCATAACTGAAATGTTACCATGAATGGTAACGCACAGCAGCTTGTTCTTTTAGCTTAAGTTACTTTTTTTGGACAATGCACATTTGTTCTTTCTATATTTACATTGCACTGCATGCTTTCTTATTGTGCAAATAAATATTCTCAAACGTTTTTTTTTGTTATTTAACATTTCTTGTTGCAAGCTATTTTTCAAAACCTTTTTAACCAATGCTTTCAAAAGTGGTGAGGACTTGTCCCCAGTAATTGACACCTATGGTCAGAAGTAATAATGGCAGTAATGTCAAACATTCACCATGATATTCCATCAGTATACTTTCAATTAATTTTTTCATATTCAAAATAAACCAAACATGTAGCCTAGCCTAGCAAACAGTTGCTGTTTTAACAACAAAATTCAACAATCAATATCTCTATATGCGCAAAAACAACAACAACAATAATAATAATAATAATAAATAATAATAATAATAATAAAATAAAACTCTGTATACGTAATATCCGGGCAGCGTGTTTGCTCTTGAACGCACCCTCGAAAGGAATCCTGGGAACGACAAGATGGCGGGACGTTCAAAAACTCCGCCGACTGGCCGAATTTACTATAAAATAAACTGTAAATAACAAAGCATAACGCAACCTTAACCGCAAAATATCCACCGGAACGTCGTAAACACGTCGTCGGATTATCGCCGGTAACCATGAACCGGGTTCGGATGAAGTTTGACTCTCCGTCCAGTCTGACAGGCTCCCCGAACACAACCAAACAGAACCGACTGAGGAGAAGTTCCAGGCAGACTCAGAGGACGCAGACAGCGGCGGAGGTCGACTCTCCAAAGAGCCAGCAGTCCGGTCAGTAACTGTATTTCAGTTCGTTTAGTGATATTGTAATATATTAAGGAAGTAATATGTTGCTGCTTCTCCTGTCTGCTGGGACGGGTGTAAGCCCTGACAGCGTCCCGCTCTGCTGGACGTTGGTAACACCAAACTACATTCACATTTCTTGCAGTTTTAGGTTTTTCAGGTGTGTCTAAGAAGATTCATCACGAAACATGACTATTTTACAAACCACAGTTTTTAGACTTTAATTCGACAAACAACAGAATCACCACATTGCAGAAGTTTAAAGTGGAATAAAGTTTAATGTAACTGGGACACAGGGCTCTGCTGTGTGTAGATAACTGCTTGGCAAACTATATTCAAATTCCACGCAATTTTGATTCTTCTTCTATATCCAAGACAGTACATCACAAAACATGACTACATATTTGTTTTTTTAAAAACCAGTTGTGAGACTTCACTTCGACATGATAACAAAACACAACTATACCAAACTATATTGAAATTTCTCGCAATTGTAGGTTTTTCTTATATATCCAGGAGAGTACGTCACAAAACATCCATCACTATGTGAAGTTTTTTGCAAACAGTAGTTTTCAGACTTTTTTTCAACATGCACCAAATTCACCACATTGCAGTAATTAACCTGGAATAATGTTTAATGTAACTGGGATAAATTGCTGTGCTGGATGTAGGTAACCGCACGCCAAACTACATTCTAATTTCTTGCAGTTTAATGTTTTTCCTGTATATCCAGAAGACTATATCACAAAACGTGACTATGTGATTTTTTTTTTTTTTTACAAAGCATAGTTGTTTGTGTTTCTTCACCCCCTAGTTTTTAAGACCCCGACCAGAATCCCGAGGTCCAGAGCAGGCACCGGTTTCAGCGGAGAGTCTCCACATAATGACTCCGACTTTCAGCAGGACATCATCTGGGACGCAACCTCTCCCTCACCCAACAGACTCGGTGAACTTCAGCCTTCTGAATGTTTAATGAAGTGCATCATTTCAGTTACCGCTTTGATCAATCGATTAGCTGATCAACAGAACCATTCTGATTGCTGCTTAATTGCTGAAGACCTTTAGGAACAAGAATGACAAATGTTTTATGTTTTCAGCTTCTTGAATTTTTGTTTTATGTAATTGTAACCTTTGGAGGTTGATTTTTTTATTTTTATTTTTATTTTTCTTCTCTTCAGGTAAAAGAGGCAAGAAACAGCCTGCTGGAGTTGTGGACATCTCAGAGATCGTCAGCAGGATCGCTCCAAAGGTCAGAAACACTGCTAGTGGGATATAATATCTAAACAAAGAACCAAAAATATTGGTTCTTGGACCTACTTTGTAGAGAGTTGTTAGTATTTTTCCCCCCAAATTTCGTATTTATGTTCTTGTTGTGTGTTGTCGCTTGTCTGTCTGAAGCATGGCAGGCCAAAGGTTGCAGAGCCGACGTTACAGCAGTGGATCGGAGACAGCGCCACCATTCCCTGCACGCCAGATGTTCAAGTTCCCAAACCCAAGAAGAAATCCCCGAGGTGGGTTCAGAAAAACCAACAAATGAAGCCCAAACCTGTTTTCTCTGGACGTCGCTCTGCTTTGATATTAGACGTTGATATAATTTTAGAAGTCTAGAGGCTCAATAGAATTTCAATGAGGTTGTGAAAACTAGCCTGTTACTGTAACTTGACACTGTGATTTCAGTGAGCGTGTTTACATGCCCACGAGTATCCTGGTATTTTCGTCGTATCCAGGTTGTGTTTTGCTGCATGTAAACGTCATATCCTGGTTGTCATCAACTCGAGTTATTTTGTAGATTTTAGTAAATTGTATCGTCGCTCTTGTTTTCTGTCACCAGTGATTAGACGACAAAGTTAAATCCCACAGAGCGGGAAAGTACTCCAGAGTTTGTTCTCAACTGTACGGAAGTGAGTGGCTGAGATGTTCAGGGGTCGTACTGCGTAACAAATGATGTGGTGTTAGGTCCAAGTAGCAGGTCCTGCAGAATTCCCAAGCATCCTGGAAAACCTGGAAACAGTTCACCAATTTTCCAGTCATGGTAAATGCATGGAAAATCTTATGTTGTCCTGGAAAATTATTTTAACATTATGTTGCGGCAACGTTGTGAACACACCCAGGAGTCACGTCACATGGTGGCACAGGTTGGATGGCGTTAATTGAAGTGACCGAAACTCTGAATAATAAGTTGCATTATCCTCCAAAGGTAAGTATTAGTCACTGCCGGCTGCTAACTGTGGAAGGCTGTTCTGTTGGTGTTCAGGCTGCAGTGGTGAAAATATATAATTTTTAAGAAAAGCACCTGCCAAGCATAGAACACAAAGGTCTTTCCAAAAAAATCAAATACAATGGGAATGCTATATTAAAAAATATAACGCCACTAAAACAAAACAAGACAAGAAATACAGTAAAAAAGAAAAAAGCAACAGTTAGAGATGGATTTTATAGAGAATTTATAGCCACATACTGCATGTCTTTAAAAGCACTTCTGCAGAGAAGAACATATTCGTGCTGTCTGTCATAGCAGATAGATCATCACTGAAAAGGTCCTGGAAAATCCTCTCTAGAAAAGAGTGGACTGACACACTTATGGACTGTAAAAAGCAGGAAGTTAGGAAGCGATATGCAGAATCCAAACACACGGGTCTTAATGAATCCACAGTTCTTGGAAATGAGAAACCTGTTCCCGATACCCAACCCTTGTAATGATCATGTATGCAGGTGCAATAAGATCATTGTGTGCATGTAAGCACATTCACTGTCACACATTGTTTACATGCACTTTAGTAACCCAGTTACAGCACATCCACGTATACAAGCAGCAGGTTAGTAGTCAGATTTCTCCTCCAACCAGACCTTATTTTGAAAGCATCGCTTCCCTTATATATGTATGTATGTATGTAGACACATCGCTCCGTGCTTTTATCCACTTTATCCACTCATTCAAGTTACCAGTACAAATTATGGCCGTGCCTTTACAGCTAAAAGAAATCAGTGTGGGAGCTTTGAGTTTCACACAGTTCCCTGTAGTCAGATGTCCCCTTCCTTTTTGTCTTTGTGTAACCTCGCCGTTTATGTAATTTGTGCACAAACCTGTATTTAGGAAAAAAATATTGCTTACATTTTACAAACATTTTCACAGGTTTACAAAGTGAGTCACAGGGTTTAAAATTGTTTCTAAAAAGCATTAAGCTCAAAATCTTATCGAGCCAGTTTATGTTTAAACTGTCCAGTTTGGTGAAGAAGTATTTAGGGCTGAACGGGCTAATTGCGTTTTTTTTTTTTTTTTAACCAAATGCGAAAAATGAAGTTAATCCCATAAAGTCTGACTTGTTTACTGTCAGTTTACACTAAAATTACATTTTCAAACCTTAAGCACGTTTGAAACGATGATGTTTGTGGAATATCTCCGTGTTCTAACACTAAGCTGATTGTTTTGTCTCAGGCCAAACGGAGTGGACGACCTGCTGAAGCTCGCCAAACAGTTTGACTTCAACATGTTTCATAAGGACGAAGAAGAAGAAGTAGTAGTTCAGGACCCACACCAGCAGAGCCTGGAGCTCCTGTCGGAGGACATCTTGGATTTAGAGAACCGTGATCCAAACTTTTCACCTCCACATCCTGGAACCTGCCAGCCAGCTGTGACGGCAGCGGCTGGGACAGATGAGCAGGTCCACCTGCATCAACACATGGAGGACGATTTGGATTTCCTTTTTGATGGACCGACCCAACATGTGAGTGGAGACTTAAGTCAGGTGTCGTCAGCTCAGCAGTCACAAGAAAAACCTGCTTTCAAAGAGGCTTCTGGGAAACCGTCTGCTTCCTCACGCAATCCCACGTCTGGTGTTTCCACGACAAACATTAAAGGAGCTTCAGGAAACGACGAGTTTGAGGACGACTGGGAGAACGATGACTTGCTAAATGACTCTTTAGTGTTGGAGATGACCCAAAACCCACAGAACTTCACCGCTCCAAAGCACTGTTCAACCCAGAAACCATCTGGTCCAGTAAACGCTCCTGCCCGTGGCGCTGCTGGACACGACCAATCAGCTGTCTCTAAAGTGGAAAAGGACAATGTGAGACAAAGAACGACTTTCAGACTGGAGCCTAATCCTAATTTCTCCGTCACAAGAATCCAGACAGACGCGTGGACAAACTGGAAGGTGGATTACAGCTTGAAAGCAGCAAAAGAAGACACCCAGCAGAGCCGGTGTGAGCGTTCTTTAGTTGTGGCGGGATCTCAGCGGACCAGGCAAACATCAAACACAGAAAAGTCAGATCCACAGAAACCAGAATTTCAACAAAGGACCTCTGTTGGAAGTTTCAAATACAATACGACTGACACAAGAACAACTCAGAGCTTTCCACAAAAACCTGAAGCAGGTTCATCCCACAGCGAGGCGCCCGCCGTCTCCGACATCCTGGATGAGGACCTGGACGCTTTCTTCTTGGCCGACCCGGTTTGGGACGACCCAGCTGATGACGACCTGCTGTGTGAAATATGTGAAGACGTGGAGAACCAGATCCAGAGCGTGGTTTCCGCTAAACAGACTCTTCCTGTGTCCAACCAGAGAGCAGCTCTGCAGCCATCCAGCAGACCCGGCGGGGACAACAGGACCCAACAGCAGCCAGCCAATCGGCAGCCTTTCCCCCAAAAACAAACACTGGCGACTCTTCCTTGTGCTCCAGGTAGACCAGTGGGCGCTAAGTTGCCTGCTGGTTTTGTCTCCAACGTTGCTGCAGGTGCACAATCGAACACAGTGACAAATTCTTACAGGTTCACACAAGCAAAAAACACTCCAGGATCCACAAACAGTCCAGGGTGTCTGCAGGGGAGCAGCAGAGTCCAGCTGGCAACGCAGGGGAACCTCCGCAAAGACCAGTTCACCTTCAAGAAGCCAGGCAACCCGGTTTCTGCAATGACCAGCAAAGGTAAAATTGAAGTCAGACTGAAGTTACAGGTTCAGGTACAAACAGTATGTACCCACATCGCTGCCGGCCCGTCTGGAACCGCGAGATTATTGAATCAGTTAGCGATAATGTGGTTTTTTGTTTGTTTTTTCCCCCCACAAAAAAATTATCTAACTGGACCAGTGCTTGCTAAGTTGCCACTGTTTTCTGCATGAATCCAGTTCAAAACCACTTTCTTTCACGTTTATTTGACTTTGAGCCAAAGATAAATAAAAATCAGCCTACAGCCGATCTATTATTGAGACTTACTACCTCGTGACTGAGCGTTTCTATTTTAATCCGCGCAGCTTTTCTAGCATTTACTGTACTGGTTTAGCAGCCCAAGAAACTCACAGACCAATGGCATGTATTCCAATCGTCTCATGGGACGCTGCTCAGCCAATCAAATCTGTGCATTCAGATAAACATTGTGAATCAAGTCCGCGAGCGATACACAGGGAGAAGACAAAGGAGAAAAGGTGATTTCACATGGCTTTTACAGATTCTTACATTTACATTCTTCCCACTGGAAGTTCAAAACCAGAATATGTCATTTGATCCAAGACTATCATGATAATTAAAAGTGGCAATGTGGAGCACCATTTCGAGACAAAGCATAAATCTTTTGAGCAAACGTACCCGTTTTACGTTTTTTTTCCTATACTGTCTCTTCATGTAGGCCTTCATTTCAGCCTGTCTGAAAGAAGAAGAAATACTTTATTTATTAAACAAGCTGTAGATGCTCCCGTCTCTTTAAGGTCCCCCCTCTCTAAGCCCACTGTCTTCTGATTGGCCAAGACCTGAAGCATTCTACCAGGCCGTTGTTGTTGCTGGGCAGAACGGGCAGACTGAGCGTTGCTGTGCTGTTAGTGTGGGAGCACATGACCATATATGGAACACCGGCTCCATAATAAGTAGAACGGAGTTGTTGGTAGAAAAAGCAGTTGAAAACAGAGCGTTCAGAACAGGAGGAAATCTGAGGTTTTTGCTCACAGAGATTTCTTTTAAATGCTTTAACCTAATTTTTTTAAGCTTTGGCCACGTTTAACCTGAACATCCAACATTATAACATTATAGATAAGTCATAAACTTTGGAAAAGCATAATGGGTTTAAAATAGGTTGAGACTGCACTTCAATCACATCAATTTAGAATTTATTATTAGAGTTATTATTTTTTATTCCTCCAGTTTGATGTGAAAACTGACTAAATACTGTTGAAATATTTTGATTTGACAAGTTGTTGACTAAAAACATACGAACTATACGTTATGGTACTGAATGATAACACAAGTTAGTCATTATGGTGTTCCGGACCTTTGCTTTGGGAAATATTCTCTAACTTTGAATTTTAATTGAATACCCCTTGATTAAAGTTACCTGAACTGTTTTCTAATATGAAACCCACACAACATGTTAAAGTAACCACATAGATTAAATTTGAGGGGGAAAAAACTTCCAAAATGTCACAAACTTCCTGGCTAGTCGGTTGTGAGGAAAAAATCAGTTTCTTACGTTTCTCATATTCTGTATTTCTCAAATGTCAAGGATTGATTGTGCAGTCATGTTGGTAACGATGTAGATGCAATGAAAAGGCAGAACTTAACAGAAACGAAAAGACTTTGGTGACTCACCACCTTTCCAAAACTCCCTAGCGCTGAAATCGTTCACCAGCAGCTCCCTGACCAGGCTGCCTGCAGATGTGTCCGCAGACACTTCCTGTTTATCGGCTGCGTAAGCGCAGGGTACAGCAGATTATTATGCAGATTGCCTCAAAATGCCAGATACTGGCCCATCAATATTAATGACTTAATGTTTAGCTTTGCAAGACAAAGGGTGTATTTATTATGTAAATACTACCCAGTCATCTGCAGATGAACGTTAGCGGAGCTCAACACGCACTTAAACCAACTCTGGTGTGGAAAAGAAAGTAACTTGCTCCACAGTCTGCAGCTGTACAGCGTGTTCTGTAACAATGTGCTAATGCTGCAGCAGAGAGGCTGTTCTCCGCTGTTTACTCCGCAACTGCGTGTTTAAAATAACGTATGTGAGAATGACGGAAGAAGAAGCGGCGGCGAGCTGGTTAGAGGAAGAGCTGCAGGTTTTACTTCAATATCAAACCTCCAGTGTGTCATAAAGGTAAACAGCTCACTGATCACAGCTGTTCTCGTCACGTACAGATGTTCCAGCACTGATTACATCAGGGTTACAAGTCATTGATCACCAGATAAGTTTAAGGGATCAGTGCCTTTTCAAATAACTTACTTTTCCATTTGTCCACCTGTCGCATACTTTAGTTTTTATCTGCTTAAGTCAAAGTTAAACTTTTTATATACATATTTTTGATTTTGTTTAATTGTCTTTATGATATCTCAGCCCTCAGATGTTTTATGTCATAGTTTTTGGTTATTAAATTGCCTCTTTTTCCCTTTATGCATCTGTATCCTGTGTGTTTTCTCTGCAGTTCCGGGAAAATGTTCAGCAGCAGAGATCGAGCTGAAGAAGCAGCAGGCGATGGAGAAACGACGACAGCGACTGCAGGCCGCCCAAAACCTCCGAGCTCCGACCTGACGGAGACAAAGAAGTATTTGGAAACAACGAACCTGAAGAGCTGAACAGTGTCTCTGCTCACCTGCCTGAAGATAAACCAGACACAACATGCTGAGCTTGCGTCGCTGAATCAGTTTGATAAGCAACGAGAGCTGGCCAACATTTCTTGTACAAATATATTCTTGTAAAAATGAATCTGTACATTTACTGTAATTTAATGTTTGTTTCTATCACATTTCTTTTTTCAAGTTTTTATTTTTTAAATCAACCCCTGTTTTTGTGTGTTTTTAAAAGAATAGTTCAACATTTATTTGCTTTCTTTCAAAGAGAGATATTATAAGTGTTACTTGTTAGCCTTGCTTAGCATAAAGACTGGAAGCAGAGGGGAACAGCTAGCTTCGCTCAGCATAAAGTCCAAAAACACACCTATCAGCACCTCTAAAGCTCGCAGAGTACCACGTTGTATCTTGTTTAATATAAAACACAAAAAGAAAAGAACCAAACAATCGTGTATCCACATGCCCAGTACTCTTGTGCAGCATCTCCAGATGTAGCGCAGGTTTTTCAGACTGGCAAATCCGACGCCCTCACTATGACCATGAGACTTCAGGAAGCTGCCTTTCAGCTGGAACTAGTTCCAGCAGGTAGCGCCGCCTTACACGGCGTGTTACCTGGTCAGCTTCAGAGGTGTTGGTAGGTGTATTTTTAACCTTTGCACAGAGCCAGGCTGGCTGCAAAGAAAGCAAATCAATTTATCTCCCAAAATGTTTCATTCCATTCACCATTCCTTTAATTCCAGATTCTACTACGTCGGGAAAGTAAATTCACTGCACGTCAGTTTGAGAAAAAAAATTACTGTGAGCAGAATCGTGATTATAGGATTGAGGACTCGTTCAATATTTCTGATTTAATAAACTCCAAACAGAAGTCGCCCGTCATGTTTCCAGCTCACTGTTTGTGCCATTTAACTTTATTTTACTTTTAAATGCAAAGTTGTCACTTTGTTTTTCAAGAAGTTTGACCCAATAAATAATTTGCCTGTAAAAAAAATTTGATTTGGGAATTTGGTTTCCATTGTCTCATCTGACAAACAAAACAGTTTCATTAGAGAGATCTTCTGTGCTAAGCTAGGCTAACAACATACTGGACAGCTAACAAAAGGATTTTTCCTGTTTCTTTAATATATTCTGACTCTGTGTTCCTGATAGTTAATTTCTCATTTAGTTTTTCATCATGAACACGAGGAGACACTTTTCTAACCCGACTGTCTGTTTTCTCTTTATTCACTTTATTTTCTGCAAAGCACTTTAACAGATTTCAAACTGTTTTACCAATAAAAGTTTTAATCTTTGACATATTCAGCGGTTGTTTCCTTGTTGTTGTTATTCCGGTCGCACCATCCCTCCTTTTTTTTTTATTCTAAAACACCTGATGTGACGGATATTTAAACACAAAGTGGCTTCATTTAAAAATCTTTTTTAATGGTTTGAAGACTTCATTTGTGGGAAAAGGAGCAGACTGTGCCGACACATTCTCAGTACAGGGCTCCTTGGTCAATAATAAATATGCAACGTCCCGTTACACTTTCAAAATAACTTCTAAAAGCTCATGGTTTTATATTAAATTAAGTACTTTGGTTAAGGAGAGGGTTCAACGACAACGCTAGAGAGCCCTCCAGTGTGCTCAAAAGTAACGTCAAGGGGTCTTGACCAAGTGTCGGACTCCACAGTAATTTTGATTAAACTTTCCATATTAGTTAAAACATTGTTAAACTTTAACAAGAATAATTTGGTCTAAATTCAAACAGACTTGAAAACACAAGATGTGGCCCCATGTACAAAATAAGTATAAATTTGTACCAAAGTGAAATGTGTCACTAATAAAATACACTGAATTATGTAGCACACGTTCCTGTGATACTTTCTGGATCCCCACAGAGCAGCTTATCCATGATTTTATCTTTTTATCTATTGTATTTACAGGACAGTTTCCTTTTCTTTGAGGAAGATGTTTTATTTCAATGTTGACAAACCCATTATGACCTTACAGTGTTTCCTCTAGGATTTTATTTCAGCAGCGGGGGGGATTTTATATTTTCCAATGAAAAATATGTAATTTCACATCATCTTGGGCCATTATTTTCACCATATCTCTGAACAAAATAGTTGGAAAAGCTAGAGCAGATAATAAATAACCAACACCCAAAGATCAGTCTACTGGAGGAACTACAACCATCAGATCTGCGGAAAGTAATTTGGTTGGTTCTGTTGCTCCACAGTGATTTTACAGTTTTGGGCATCACCCCTAAAACCCTGTTAATATGACCTCAGAATCATTCTAGATACGACTGTTCATGTGGCCTTTTGTGTCTTCATTTTACAGCTTCTGACATTTATCCGTAGACATTAATATAAAAAATAGGCAGCATGAGAAACCTCCTCCCTTCTGAGGTGCATTTTATTTGCATCACACAAGAGCCATCCAAATCCAAAAAGAAACGTCTCCTCGTTAGCTTAAAAGGACTAGTTTGCATCACTAATTAGCTTCACTAACCTCAGCTCCTCCAGTCACCTCCGTCCTACCTTTTCCAAAACCACTTTTTCAGACTGAAAACTGAAAACTAGTGAGCAAGACAGTAACAAGGGATAACTGGTTTGATTTTAAACTATGACTCCCATGCTTCTCACAGTGAATTTCAGAAAACGCTCCTGAACTGCCAGAAAACAGCTGGATTGTAGTCCAGCCTTTAATGCATCACTTTGGAACACATCATGCTCGTCTAGCGGTCTGGCACACCATCAAAAAACACTGGTGGAGAAACACACTGAGCTGCAGCACACACAGTGCTGCTCTGCTTCTGATTGGCTAGTAGACCTTGACTAGGTACTACGCATGTGCAACTCCCAACAAAGATATAATAGAAGTGAGATGCTTCACTCTGTGTTCAACACACCAAAAAGGAGCTGCAGCAATGTGCAGTACGACAAAAATATGGTGTCTTTTGAATTCAAACCACGTAAACCTGTTCTGGTACAACCTCTAAATAAGATTATGAACCTGAAAATTAGCATAATATGACCTCTTAAATATGTGTTTTCACTCCCCTACTCGTCACACATGGACTCATGGTCAAGAGCCATCGGTGTCAGTTTATAATGCACTGGGGATCACTATAGTGTCATAGTTCAACGCACTGGGGGAAGCTGTAGTGTCAGTTTTTGACGGTAAAGGCAGGCATATGATATTTAACAGAAAAGACTGAGTAAGGAGGTGTATGGTGGGCCAGAACCTGGACTTTGAACCAGGAGAGCGGGGTTCGTGTCAACATTAAATGTTTTTATTTAAGTTACGCAAGTGTTAACTGAAGTACGTAGTTATTTTAACCAAGTAGTTTTGTTGCCTAAACCTAACCAAATTCTAACATTTTGCGACTTTAATAACGTGCCATTTCAAAATGGCAATGTTTCGAAACACTAGCATTTTATTTTGAAAGTTTAACTAGAAGTTGCATACTTGTTGTTGCTAAGCGTTGCTAACTTAAAAATGACAACTCAGCAACGCCTAAACGTCTAAAAACAACGCAAAAAGGCCTTGACTAAGCGTCAATATGTGACAAGTCGGAGTGAGAAGGTGTTGGCTTTTCAATGAAAATGAGAATATATATGCATAAATAATCATTCCATCCAAAATCGTGATTCATATCGCAACTGCAATATCAGTCAAAATAATCACACTTAGATATTTTGTAGAAGCATAAAGCAACATACAGTGAAATAGAAATACTTTAAGTTAAAATAGTGCCTAAATGCAGTAGTGGAAATGAAAGGTGCACACACAGCGAAGATTCATTTTAGAAGATAAAGACAAACTTCACAGCGTCAGTTGAAGATCAGCCGCTGGGGTTCACCTGGGTCACTTGGACTCGTCAAGTCTCCTCATTAACAGTCTGGCAGCTGTCTGATGGAGCAGATATCGTCCCGGCAGGTAAACCGAGCCTCGTTATCAGCAGACAGGTGTGTAACTGTAGTCCAGTAAATCACACAGACTCACAGATGTAACCTGCCTCGGGTTTAATCACGCTGCTTTTGTCCCAAACGCACTCCAGGATTCACTTTACGCCGCTTGTCAAGGAAATTTCTCTTCGCCAGGTTTGTCTTTGCCAAGTAGACGTAGTTTTTTTTTAGTAGCTGAATGCCGGAGCAGTGTGAGTTAACAGTGTGTGCTGGGAGAAAGGTGTCTTGTTAATTGGTGTAAACACTCATTTGAGCAGATTTTTGGAAGAAGAATTGATCTAATTGGCTGAATTAAACCTGCTGTGTCGCTGCTGCTTACTGATCCTGGTGGTTTTTACTGTGCAGGAAGTTCTGTTTCCACATTAAAAGAAAGACTGAGGAGCAAAACAGCTCATTCGAAAAGAAAATACACAATTTGATGGAGAAAAAATTACCTTCATACTTCAAACATTAAATGTACTATCAACTATTACTAGTAAAATTAAATGTAATAAAATAAATAACCTGCAGAATGCAGGTTTTATTATATTAACCAAGATTTCAGTCAATAGTTTTTTTTTTCACAATTCTCTAACAACAAAAATGAAAAATGAGAAAAATGCAGTTAAGTTACCATCCATTTTATCAAAACTGATAAAGGTTACGTGTTATAAATCTAAGATTAAACTTTTTTATTTTATTTTATATATTTGACCAGTTTTATAATCTTAAACATTGAACATTTGTTAATAAAATATTTCTAATTTGGACTTGCCTGGTTATTTCACTATTACACACAGATTATTGTTGTGTAACAAGCTGATTATTCAGGATTATATAATTAATAAGATTCCAGACCAACAAAATAAAAATGTTTAGTGACCGTTTGTGCAATACATTCTCACTCCCAACTCCTCACATATGGACGTATGGTCTAACCTGTCAGGCGTCGTTTTTTGACGTTTCTACTGAAATATTTCATTTCATATCATGGACAAACCTGGCACATTACAGATATTGTTGTTAATTGTTAATCTTTGCTGTATATTTTTATATTGTCAATTTATATATTTATGTACACAATATTCTCTTCCGTTGCAATTCTGCACAACACAAACCCAGAATAATGCACATCTAAATATCTGCACCGTTGTTCTTAAATAGTTGTATTATTTTTCTCTATTCTTTTTATTATTCTTATATAACTTGCATTGTCTATTCCATATTTAGATATTTCTACTTTATGTCAACTGTATGTCTACATGTAGCCAAAGCAAATTCCTTGTATGTGTAAAACACCACTTGGCAATAAAGCTCCTTCTGATTCTGATTCTACTGATTCTGATTTAGGGCTCCATGGTCAAGTTAGCAATAAAAAATAGCAACATCCGGTTAGACTTTAAAAATAAAAGCACTTGTTAACGTTGTGAAGCGTCGCAATTTGGTTAGGTCTAGGAAAACATCACAGTTTCGGGTGAAATAACTTCATTATGCACATCAGTTAACTTCCATAAGTTAAGTAACCCTTCTTACGTAACCTAAGCAACTTAAATGAATAACGATAAATGAAACATCTGGGCTCCACTTAAATAGACAACATAGCACTTAGCTCACTGTAAACCAGCTAATGCACGTCATCTTTTTAATCTGATGTCTGGGACAATTTTAACTCACATGACCTCCTCTTCAATGCAGACGTCTGTTCCTAAATCTGAGAAAATTTATGTTAGGCTGAATTACACACATGGTGTTTGACGGTTTAAATCATAATTTTGAAAGTGAGGAAAGTTGCAGTTTGTTGTAAAAAATAGTTCAAGTAAAGGTTACTGAAGCTAGTTTTACGACAAACTGCAACTTTCCTCACTTTCAAAATCAAACATCAGGTTTGTAATCCGGGACAGAATTCAAATGGGATGGATGGGAGGGACTCTGGAACTGAAATGGACCAAACATGAGGTCAATGAGGTGCAGAGTGTCGATGTGGACGTCTCCTGCTGCCCCCTAGAGGCCAAAACTTGATTAATGCAGCTTTAATAGAGTCTCTGTTAAGGGTTAAACTAGGACAAAGTAGACCAGGAGACCAAACAATGTGCAGAGATGTAGCTCATGGTCGACTGGTTTACATGAACACACACACACAGCGTTTGTGTGTTGGTGACCTGCCGGGCAGCAGAGCGGCTCCATGGCTCCACCCGACGCCTACAGCAACATGGCTGAAAGTGTTTACGGCAGCTCCTCTTACCCCGCTGCAGGCGACACTTACCTGCAGGTGAAATGAAGTTACCTGAGAGTTACGCTGAACTCTGAGTGACCCAGCTCCATTAATTATTCCCGGGGCCAATCACAGAGGATAGCGA